GGGAAATCAAAAGTAGTATGTAAAAGAAAAGGCATACCTCATTTTTCTGAAGATGTTTCTGGTCCACGAGGCAGACCATTATTACTGATAATTGATCCCTAAATGTAAGAGTATACATCTTACAAATTTTGTTGGCCCGATGTTCAGGTGATTTACAAGATGACACTTTGTGTATTACAATAATCAATAAATTAATCAATTATAAAATTAATCTTCGAACAGTCTTAAAAACCGTTCATTCATTCTGAGATATTTGATATTGATTCGGAAGGCTAGGGTACTGTCGCAATTTGTAATAATCATCGCACTTTGTAATACCTGTCGCAACTTGTAATAAACCGTGTCGCACTTTGTAATAAAAAAGCTGTCGCAATTTGTAATAATTCCATCGCACTTTGTCATAAACTTAGATTATTTTCTTTGGTCAAACATGCATGTCTTCCGACATAAATTTTTCTGCCTTAATTAATCACGTGACCAACGAGAATCGCTTTTATGAAAGACTAGAAACTTCCTGTGACATGTCACCAAAAAAAAGATATGAGTCATTTCATATATTTGAATTCAAAAATATTTGAATAACAAAACCAATATTTAACAACAGAAAATTCATGAATAACCTGGAATTCGTCGTCCCAATCCACGTTTACTTGCCACGTGACACTTGAAGTCTTCGGGGTGGGGGGGAGGGATAATCCCATATACATGTATGGGCTAGGTAGGTAAGTACTGCTGAGGATCTCGAACCTTAAATAGGGTATCATTTTTACCTTGTTGGCTTTGTGTCTTTGGTTTGACCCTTAGATAGGGTAACTCAAGTAGTAATGGATGGTTTGGTTTATTATCCTTTGCATTTTGTGGAAAAAAGAATAATCCTAAACACGCTCGGAAGAATTGCAAGGTCTTACGAGTTGTATACAGGGAAGGAGAATTTTTTACTATCCAAACGGTATTTGTTTTAGAGAGCTCCATAGAAAAAAATTGTTTTAAGATGGAATGATACTCTTTTTGTTCCTCTATGGGGCCAAAATCAAGAGAGAATAATGGACCAAATGGCCAGCCGGCTCCGCGTATGATTCCAAGTGAGTTTTATAAAAACAGGTACATACAAAGGTATCGGCCAGCGAATAATTGGATTGTGTGTTTATGTTTCTGTTTTCGTTCGACGGTTCGCCACTGGTGATCTTTTTGTTTATTTGCAGTAAATTACATTTTGAATTTTTACAGGCGTCGTCTGATTAAGTTAGCCAAAATATAGAAGCCACTATTACTTCTTTTAAGATTGCGCGTCAGACAAGGACGGTGTTGTGTCGACCTGTTATCAGATCTAAAAAGGGAAGCTTTTCCGGTGTCTTTATTTGAATGATGTAAGGATGGATGTTACGATTTGTGGAAATTAAATTTCTTTTAATAATGGCTCGTTTGTGTCTAGTGTGTCTAGATTCTGTACTCTGACAACGCTCTGTCCAGCGGCACATCCCCGCATTGGCCATATAAGGGATGAGGGATCGAGTACGCCCCCCAGGTAACCACTGCATGCAAACCACCTAATACAATAGCAAGGTTTAAGAATACAGAATTTCGTACGTCAGATAACTAATCAACATTAATTTTAAAAAAATGTTTAGGACCGTGAATAAGTTAAATGGTTTCAATGAGCGCAGATATAAATTATAAAAGTAATTTTGTAAGTTACGTGCTTGCAGATCGAGACGTCATCATCTTTGTTTACGAAGTACCATTCATATTTTGGCATTATAGCGGAGCTCCACGCGCGCGCGAAGGGCGCGCGTGGGCGGAGCCCCATAGCTAAGGTAATCTACCCATTCCAGAAAATTTGGTAATCACGTGACCGTACACCGAACGAACGAACGAACGACCGTCCGTCTGCACTACAGGGAAACCAATGTTTACTCTTACACTTTCTAGCCAGTTTGGGAGCCCAGGAGAAAACTAATTGCACATCAATGTTGTGATCAATTGACAGCTGTCAAAACAGGGTATCGGCTGACCAGTATCACCTGACCGTACCGCGGGCTCAAGTGTCGACCCATCGAGGTCGAGTATTTTTTGAAGTTATCCGTTGACAAATTACCAGTTTCAAATGATCGCAGGCTCAAGTTTATTTTTTTCAATGATTCATACGAAATATGTTGTGTTTATGTCACTATGGCCCCGCACTATTAAGATTTTGATTTCAAACTGACCTCGGACGCGAAAATTTAGCCAGTTTTTTTAAAAATACAGGCGGGAAAGACCTTTTCTTACCATGGACACGCGTTGGTCACGCTCTGGGTCCAATTTTTATGCTCTGATTGGTCAAAATTTGACAGGTGAGTTCATGCGGAAAATTTATGCAGCATCTTGAAAGTTGCTTACTTTGACAGCTTGCGCTGAAGCTTACAGAGTTTTGTGTCAACTTGTCAGTGATGTTTTTAACTGTCTTTTTCCACTGGATGACAAAATGAAATACAGCTGCTATCAAGAGTCTTCTGTTATTCATGGAGAAATGCGTCGCTTGTCAAAATTCGGTAATCCGATTTCGGATGGCATCGTTTTCGTCTTGCTTAATGCGTAAGAGGGTGTAAAAGTCTCAAGCAACTGTGGCCTTCCTTGATAGTTTTCAGGAACTGAATCTAGATTGGTAAGCCTGAGTAATTATTGTATTTGATGTTTGTTTTTGTTATATCTAATTTCATGAAGTCGAGCACAGTTTATGCGGCAAGTTTATGTACGTTTGTAAGATTTGAGTCAATGATCTGACCTAGTGTCAGGTTTGATACAAGCTTACAGAACTTTAAAAGGCCTTCAGATATATTTTCTCACCGCAAATAGAAAGAAAACGTTCCGAAGGATATTTAGTTATAAATTTGGCTGTAGAAAGAAACCTTTGAGCGATTTTCTTGCTTCGAGGAGTTCGTCTTTGAAAAAAGCAAACACCCGGAGGCCGGCTTAAAGTAAAACATAATTAACTTAAGCTTAAAGACTCAGGATTTTTAGACACACTTTAATACCTGTCTTCGTGAATGAAAATTGTTGCCTCTGTAAATGTGTCACCGAATCATATTTCTTTTATTGACTGTTAGTAGTCTTTCTTGCAATTTTAATCGCCTGTGACGTGCCGTTTGTTTTCATCGTTCATGAACATCGCTTGCAGGAGTAGTCAAAAATGTCGCGCGTATCAAACGCTTTATAAGATTACACATCGTTATAACTGAAACCATTAAATAACAAAAAAAAAAAATTAATTAATTCGTTATTATGTTGAAGCGTAACTCTATTAAAGTTCATTCAAACACTCGACCACACTGACAGCTCGCACTAGAAATGAGAACCTGCTGCCCGTACGGGTGATTTCGGATTTTTTTAACGGTTTCGCTAAAAGCCCACGATTGATCGTCCTGAATATTGACTAAGTGCAATTTGTCTCGAAACATTGTGAAATGCCGCATTCTGTCCCAGGTCTGTATGATAAATAGTACTGTTTCACCTCAGATGTGATGTATAAAGAATATAAAAGGTTGGTTTACACACCCCCAGATTTGTTGGCAAGAATTTGTAAAGTAAACCTATCGAACGCAAAAAAATTTGTTTTCCAAGAATTTGTTTTCGAGGCCTAATCTACTGCGATCAAGAGCCATTATGGCTCTTGAATGTGATTGAAGATGTTTGCTATTTTTTGGGTGTACATATAAGGCTATCAACTCGATATAAGAAATAACTTAGCCTTTTCCTAAAATGTCACATGAATGTGCCTTTAACCTAACTGATTTGTGGATCACAAGTTTGTTTGATTTAAATTATAAATTTACTAATGGGAGCTTCGCTTTTAGCCCTGGCTAAATCTATATATAATTAATGTTGGCGAAGTAAGTTGAATCACTCTCAAAACATTATTACAAAGTGCGATTGAATTACTAAAAATTGAGAAGGCATAGTATATTACAAAGTGCGATGGACAGTTATTACAAATTGCGACAGCTTTTTTATTATAAAGTGCGACATGAATTACAAAGTGCGATGAATTTATTACAAATTGCGACAGGTATTACAAAGTACGATGATTATTACCAATTGCGACAGCAGACCTGTAAGAAGTGAAGGTCCGCTCTCACACCTACTATACAAAACTGAGAGCTAACTAATATTATTACATGATACTGCTCATCAATGGAAGTACCCAAAAGGTCCAAAAGTGATGTTCCTGCTACTATATTCTCAAGCAACATCAGTAGTCCAGCAAGGATTTGATCTGTGAAACTGAGATCTTTATGACCAGTCATCTTGAATCACTGCTATGGATAATGTCCACATCGATATCCCCTGAATCACTGCTAAGCAACCTCACATTACTCAAACTTGCACGGTAACAGGGACATTATACAAATAGCTGCTAACAGCAATGTGGTACAAATTTATTCAACCATAACTGTATGACTGTACAATGATATCCAAAAAAGTCTATGCTTATTTTGTTTTTCATTTAATTTGATTTACTCGGTTGCTTTGTTCTGTTGTTCAACTTTAGTCCCTACCCTAAGATTCAGACCCTACAACCCCTTCTATTAGATATATAGATACCATGTACATACTATAAGATCGACGTTGAAGCCGGTCTATATAATCAGAGGATTGTCCTGTTCAACGACTAGCAATATCTCTTATATCAACACCCACTGCTAGTTGAATTCTTCCCCGTAAACACGATTCCATGGTATATATATGACGTACAGATTAAATTATTGCAACGAAAGTATTTATCCAGAATGACAAATACAATCGTACGCTTGAGACTACTATATATATATATTTTTAAAGTAACTATTAATTTTTTGAAAGTGTTTAGAAACTTACTGTATGAGATTTCCCAGACAAGATTGACAATAGAAATGGCCACAGCTTGTTTGCATGGCCTCTCTCAGTAAAAGTTGACAGTATGAACAAAAGTACTTCGCATCAATCTTCTCCTTGTCAGGATTTGCCAAACGATACCCTGGCATAGTCGTGAGTCGATGGAGTACCCTTACCAAAAGATCATAAAACTTTGCCCAGCGATTCGCTATTGCAAGTCTTCTCCTTTGGCTCTACAGGCCTTCTGGATTCACTCTTGATAAGTTAACTACAAAGGCAAAGCGGCAGTTAGTTTAACTCACTTGTAAGGCACGAATTAACAATTCTAAGTAATGATTTCCTCAAAGATTTTGTTAACTCATCTATCAGCAGCCAAGGGCACCCAACGACAATTTTTGGAAAATATCTGTTCGGAATACGATTTGAGATCTAGAATTTTCGGAACATTTGTTGTTAAATTTCTTGTTTGCCCGCCTCTCCTAGGATTTTCGAACCCCCCCAAAATGATATAATTGCCCATTTTTAACGGATTTTTACCCTAAAAAGGTCACCTAGAATTTTCGGGAGCCTTTTTTCTGGCTGAAATTTTCGAAAAGGTCAGTTTTGATCCCTATAATTTTCGGATCACTAGACTTTCAGCTAGGAAATCCGAACAGATGAAAAAGTTTTAGGGGATAAAAATATGCATATATCTACCGTTTAAATACTAAAATACGTCCAACATTACTATGTTTAAGTGGTTTTGAACCATATTCTTGTTGGGTGCCCCTGGGCAGCTGAGGCCCTGCACAGGGCTATCACAATTTAGTAAAATCTAACTAGTGGACTATTATTAATGCTGTGTTCTGATTGGATGAGCTACTACTAGGCTACACGTTATAGCCCACTTGTAGCGAAAAGCGCCGGCTTTGAAAACCAAAACAATGGCGGCTGAATCACGTTTTGCTGGCTAAAGTTGTTTTGTCTCGATATTTCTGACCAACAAGTTGGATTTTACTAAAAACAATTATTCCCCTCGCCCTCATGGCCTCTAAGTCAATAGTCCATTCGACCTTCGGCCTCATGGGCTATTGACTCAGAGCCCATTCGGGTTCGAGGAATAATTGTTAAATACTGGGGTAATACACAGGGTATCTCAATATACTGAGTTTTACAACAAAAGCTTTCCATTACAGCTCTGTCGAGGAAAAAGCCTGAAAATCTGCGTAATCCGTGGCTGACAACCGGACTCTTGATCGATCTTCCTTCCCAATCAGTCTCTAGCTTGACTTAATCTTTGCTGTTTGCTGATGATACAAATATATTTTGTTCCCAGGAATACCGACGACCTTGTTTCCATTGCTAACAATGAACTTGCAAAAGTAGTTACTTGGCTTACTGCGCTTTTCACAAACATGCGAATTCTGAAAATCAAAAGCCAACCGACGATTGCCTTTTTTTGCTGCCGTCAATCATCTTAACGGACTTCTTAGCGAACAAAACTTTACTTTAACGGGTTCAAAAGGTCAAGGTTTGCGATTTGTGATTGGTGGATTTCGATCCGTCAGTGTGTGTTTCTGAGTTTCAAGGTTCGTTGCTTGTGATCGTAATTATGATTGACGGCAGCGAAAAACGCAATTGTGAAGGCGGCTTTTGAACTTTAGAGTTCGCATTTTTGTGAAAAGCGCAGTAAAGTATTGACTAAAACGAACTTTGTGATTTCTCCTCCAGGGCAAAAAAAAAATAATGTTAATGTTCGTCTTGTTATGGAAAATACTATAATCAAGCAAGTCGTGGAAACTAAATTCTTATTCTTATTGTTCAGCACCTTTCCTTGAAATTTCATATTAGTTTTGTTTCCAAAAAGATATCGAAAACTGTGGGGATTATTGCGAAAGCTCTCTTTTATCTATCATTGCTAACCATATACTACCCTCTAGTATATCCCTACCTAACATGTTGTAATGTTGCCTGGTCCTCCAACTATTGCTCCAACCTAAACTGTATTTACCTTTTGCAAAAGCGCATAGTGCGACTTATATCAAAAGCTCACTATCTAGCAAATACCGCCCCATTATTTATCAAATAATAAGTCCTTGACATATATACATGCTTTTAATAAGTCTGGGCGCCATCTTGAATTTTCAATGAATGACGTCATTCGCGGAAAGATCACACACGTGGCCAAAATGGCTATTAAAGATGAAAGCTCTGTTAACGTTGATTTTGCAGTGTGTTCATATAAAAAGGAATGTTTTTACTTTATATCCAGAGGAAAAGTTTCTTTATACAATGTCTTTATGGGTATGTTATCGTAACTTTAAAGCTTTCGTGCGAAGATATTCCTGGATCGATGATATCGAGGACAAACGAGAGCCGATTTAAATGCCAAAAAAATGCGAATTAAAGTAATCGTCGTGGCTTACGTCAACAGACACGAGCTTAACTTCTTTCTAGGTAATCCTTTTTAGCAATGATTTTAATACTTTTTCATTTTTTATGCGGGCCTTTATTAAAAAAGCTGAAAACGATTAATTATTACAGCTCGTAGGAGACTTAGATTATCTATCAGGTATTTATAAAAGCTAATTGAAAGGATTTTTCATGTCGCTATTCTGATCCTTTGAAAATGTAGGATAATTCCATTTCGATAAAAAGTTTATGCTTTTCATCATCAGTTTTTTGTTATTATGTATAGGTTTTAGGGAAAGAAAGAAGTTGGATAAAAAACGTTTATATTCCAGTCGACCCTTACACCGAATAATTTTTCACTCTGGGAGGGCGTGGCCCAATAATACAGAAAGCTATCAGCTCGACTCCTGGTTTAATAGAGATGTGTGTAGCCCGGCACTGAAGAGAGCTGGAGCAGGGATGCATCAATTCTTCCAAAGCACTTTACTTAATTTTACATTGTTGAACAAGCAACGAAAAAATCAAAAAGCACTCTCGAAAAGGGACACAATTTTATATTTGAAAATTATTGAAGGCTTATATGGACAATAAATTCATGTAGAGGGGAATGCTTTAAATCACTGAGGAAGAATGAAAGGCCTCACAATGTTAAGAGTTGTGATAAATACTCTTGTACAGCAGGAGGAAATGTTTACTGTAATCACACGTTTTTATTATATGTGTTTAAATTCACTGAATTCCCAAGAAGTGGAATGTGCACAACTCAATACAGTAGCACAAACCAAGGACCTAGGGTACGAACCCCAATCCATATAATGCATACAAGGCATATAATGTCGTCAATCCTTAATACAGGGAGAAATGAGCTAGGGCTTTGAGGTGTCCCTTGTATGCAGCCAGGTAACATACTGTCCAAAATAAAGAGAGGGCAAATTAGTTCTTTCATTCACTTAAGACAACTGTCCTGCAATAGTTTCAACTAAATTAACTGGACACGAGGTTCCACGGGTAGTGAGTTAAACATCTCTCAATATCTCTCTCTAATGGAGGCAAACGTCAGTGTTATGGCAACTATTCCAATTTGCCAAGACCTAGGGCTGTTGATGGCTCCTTTCCTGAATTCCCAATTGACACTGACACACCAGCTTGGGTGGGATTGCAAATGCCCCTTTTTTCAAAAGGGCCAATTTATAAGTAGTTTAAAAATTCCTAATCCATCCTTAACTGAGAATCAAAAGGTCAGAGCAAAGATACGTTAATTTTGGTTTCAAAGTAAAAGGTTCAAGTCAACTAGCTGTAATTTGCACTTGTTTGCGAATGGAAACTCAACATCTCTCCCTGCAAACAAGGTTTGTTCAAAATACTCTCGTGTCACAGAATGATGTTTCTAATAATATTGAATGGCAAATTGGTCTTAAGTAGCAACTAAGTATGCTGAGTACATGAAAAATATTGGTTTAGCATGTATATTTATAATATGTACATATACCTTCATATTCAGGGCTTAGAGTGTGGTGTTGTCATATCAAGCACAATGTCATGGTTGGCTACTTTACCAAACAGAAGGATGATAGATGATAAACATCAAGTTATGGTTTATTAGAAATCAAATGCCTTTTTACATTATGAAACTTAACTCCTGACAAGGCATGTTCTGATCCAAGGTTTTATTGTCACATAGTTAATAGCAAGCCTGAGCTCAAAAAGTTCCACCTTTTTCAGGGTCATTTGGGTGGGGCAGGATTAAAGTGGTGCTGTCTTCAATATTCTTTAAAAAAAAAAAAAGACTGGTTCAGGAGCCCATCAAATGGAGCCTCCATCTCCATTAATTTCTTGAGTCAACCCTTTCCCGAGTAGATTTATAAATAGAACGGCTAGTTTCCCGCGAAAAGTGTCATATTTCTGTGAGTCTCGTGTGTCACTGCACCGTGAAAAAATAAAATTAGATGAAGTCGAACTCAGAAGCCCGTCCTTCGACCGTTTTCCTTTTTTCCTTTACGTCCATTTTTACAATTTTACAGCCGCTGGGATCTGGGTATCATGAAATAAAAGTTAATGAATTACTCGACTGAGACTGAGCATGAAGCGATGAGACAAAGGTTTTGAAAGGGTTTATCTTTGCAAGTGTTCTTTTTTTTTTGCCGTCATACATCCCATATTTAAGTATGCACCTTGAAAAGAGTCGACGATTAAGCGTTCTGTGGACGATTTGGAACTTTTGGATGATCAGCGCCGAAAAAGTGCCGGGATCATTTGATTTTTGTGATCACCGTGGAGTGGATTTCGCCAGTTAAGCACCGCGTGCAAAAGCGATGACCTAAGAAGCAACTAATGAGGAATGCTTCAGTTCCGAAATTTGAGAAATTGCAGTCTTCCTTTACAACTGACTTGTATCACCATGAGAGTTGCCTGATAAAATTGGCACTTGAAAAGTTGACCAGAAGACAACAGTTGCTCGACCGTGAAGCTAACTCAAAAGTAATTTGCTAACGGAGGAATTTGTGACATCGCGCTCCAGTCCAAAGACCCACATATCTCAAGAAAAACAAAATGGATTGTATCAATTTTGACTGACTAACAGGACAATTCTCAGCAGTTAATGTAGAAGTTTAGGCTCAATTCCTTCCTTCCAATTCGCATCTGTAGATCACTTTTGTGCGAGAAAACAATGGCTGGGCCCGGCGTTACAACATAGCAGGGAATCATCACACTAGCTGACTGACAAAACAATCACAAGGACTACAAGTATTTATTCAGA